TCTACCCATGCTTACTACAAGTACACTGATGGTTAAAAAGACCAATGCGAGATAGACAAGTCCGGTTGCAGAACGTACAGCAGAAAGACTCCCCAGGTGATATCAACGAGACGCGATTCTTTCTGCATTGTCTTTTCTCCTCGAGAGTAATCCTGCGTGTATTCTCAAAAGCAGCAGCAGCGTTATAGATGGTGTGTCTCCAGGCCTCCCAATTGGAGGCCAGGGTAGACCAATGGTGGTGATCAATATGGCCAAGGCTGAGGGATTGTTTCAGGGAGTCCTTGTATCTCCTCTTCAGGGCTCCACTCTTGCGGCAACCAGTGGCAAGTTCTCCATAGAGCACGATCTTAGGGAGGCGGTGGTCCTGCATCCTGGAGACGTACCCTGCCCAGCGCGGCTGAGTTCTCAGCAGCATGGCCTCAATGTTCGTGACTGCTGCCTGTTCAAGGACAGTGTTTACAGAACCATTGTACTGTCTACTCTTTAATATGGATCTGAATCATGGATCATTTACTGACACCACTTGTTTCTCTTAGAATGCTTCCATCAGCGCTGCCTCCGTACAATCCTTAACATCCACTGGACTATGTGACCAACATGTCTGTCCTTGAATAGTTTATTATAAAAGCAATATAAAACAAGCAAGAAAGTACAGTGCACTGGACTGTATGCTCTGTGGCAAAGCAGCTCTGACTGCTTGTTTTCTCTCCCCTTTTGTACCATTTTGGTCTCTGTATCTTGCAATCCAAGGTCCGGAGAATGCATGCGTGAGTTTAGTAGCTGCTTTATGCTTGCAGTGATCTTTTCTTTCCTGGTGCCCAAAGATGTGTATTGGGCTTTGAATTCTACAAGGAAAGTTTATTCTGTCTACTTTCTTCCTGGAAGAAGGATTACTTTGTCTAGGGGTCTTTTCTTGAGTTCCTGGAAGGGCTAATTCCTTGTTAGGTAAACCAATTACCTTAAAAAAAGATTGTGTATTTCTCTGTCTGTCTTTGGATAGGATTTTCCTGGCAAACATTGTCATATGTTTTACTGGAAAAGGGATTTGTTACAAAACAAAGAAAAATACCATTAATTTTACTACAGAAATAAAACAATACAGAAAGTTATGATTACAGAGAAATTACAAGTATTCAATTAATTCATTACATGCTGGTTTTAGGCAACCCGAGGAAAGATACCATCGTGTTTCTGTGAAAGAGGGTGGTCTTAGAAGATTGTGTGAGCAGACAATGTTGTAATGGGGGGTGAAACAAGTAAGAAAGATGAAGAAAAGAAAGGAGAGAAGATGTCAGGAAAACGCCCCAATATCCCTCATGATAGTCCCTCGGGAAGGATGTTAGATTCCCAGGGAAAGACAAGATGGATATGGGGAAAAGATGGGACCACAATGATCCAATATTGCATGTACGAATGGAAGAGAGGGCCAATAAGACAAGACCATCTCTATTGACCTCAATTTGGCTCGTTCGAGGGTTGGATTTGTAAAGCATTAAGTCTTTATGTCAATGCAAAAGAACCTTTTACTTCAAAAGAGAGTGATTATGTTGCATGCTGGGTAGGGTCTATAGGACTATTCCCAGTTTCTATAACAAATGGAGCTAATAAAAACCAGAAGAAAAGGAAGGATCCAAAATGGGACCCCTTAGAGAATCTCCCAGAAAATCCTCCTTATAATCCTGAGGAGAATGAAGGAAATGGGGCACAAAACCCAAATACAACTCCTCCTCCAAGCCCTCCCTGGATATGGGAAAGGACCAAGGGACAACTGGAGTTAGAAACACCTGATAAGCTCTATCCCTCAGAGAGGTTCCAATAGAGGGAATACAAGGGGGTGTGAGATATGTAAATGCCCCACTAACCAGCTCGGAAGGACAAGAATTTTGTAGAGAAATGAAAAAGTTGTTACAAGACCCATTGGGCTTAGCTGAACAATTTGATCAATTTTTGGACCCAAATATGTACGCATAGATGCAATCTATAATGGGGACGTTGTTTTCAGTAGAGGAAAGGAATATGATTAGAACCATGGGAATCCATGTTTGGGACTGGGAGCACCCTCACGGGGTAAATGGGCAGGGCAGAGAACAAAAGATGCCAATAGCATGCCCAGATTGGAGCCAGAATTCTGATGGGGGAAGACAGAATATGATTGATTATCATAATTGCAGTATTAATGGAATTAAGGAGGCAACCCCTCAAGGACACAATATGGCTAAAACTTTTGATGAAAAACAAACCAAAGATGAGTTACCATCTGAATAGTTAAAAAGATTAAAGAAAAACGTACAACAGTATTTGGGGGTCCAGGTGGACAGTCCCCCAGGGCAACAATTGCTGAAAGCTTTTTTTGTGGCTCACTCATAGTTAGATATTAGATGGGAATTAGAAAAGTTGGAGGATTGGAATGAGAATGATATGAATGAGATATTGAAGGAAGCTCAGAAAGTGTATGTTCGGAGAGACAAAGAGCGGTAAAAGCAGAAGATTCAGGTAATGATAGCTACGGTTGAGGAAGTGAATAAACAAGGGGGAAAATGGGCCCCAGGGCAGAGAAGAGCATGGGTACCACAAGGGAAATATGGAAATGGTCCCAGTAAATATAAAGGATGGAGGACTCAATACCCTAGAGGGCCTTCCTGAGCACTGACAAAAACAGAGATGCAAACAGTCCCCCCAGATGTACAAAGTAAGGGGAGAGCTTTTTTTTTGCTGTGGACAAGAAGGACATTTTAAAAGGAATTACCCTAGGTGCCAAAAAGACATCCAAGTCTTCCAGTTACAGGAGAGTTCGGTATAGGGGTGTCAGGGGCTCTGCCGTCTTTCTAAATTCAAAGGAGGAATTTTTCCCACAAGAGGACTGCAAGTTCAATAATTTTTTAGTGTGCCCTTTGATGGTGTTGCTCTGAAGCAGTGGCTAGGTGGGGGTCTCCCCACCAGAGCATGGGAGGGACACATGAATCTGAAAAATATGGTAAAAGAACTGCCCAGAAGCGTTGAGTCTTTTGAGCAGTGAAGGTATTTATTTGTCAACGTTGGGAGCAAGCATTGTTCGCACCACAAAGAACTTGTTCAAGGTAGCACACAAAAATCAGGGTTTTTATACAATTTTCCTATGTGATTCTTTACATATGCATATGATTACATCATCTATACATATTAATAATAGATGGAGTACAGATGGAGCTCAGACAGAGCTTAGGGCAGTGCTTTTCTTGATCCTCAATTTCAGGGGTACTTCCGTCCTTCAGTCTCTTGGGTCTGAGGGCATCAGTAGTCCTCCTCAGTTTGATCTCTTTTACCTTTCCTTTGTTCTTGACCTAATCACTGAAGCTTTGAGAAAGCCTTGGCTTTAGGTCTTCTTCTCTAATTCAGATGTCTACTTTAGCTTACTTTTGCCTTATCACCCCTAAGCCTATTGAATAATGTTTCTAGCATTCTTCTTAGTTTCAGGTCCAATGGTCATAACAGAACAGATTTCTCTTTAGCAACATAAGCAGAGCAGGTCTGGGGGACCTTCTCTTAGCAGAGCAAGATATTTAGGTTAACTCTTTTTAGGTCTTGCTCTTGTTTTACACAGGAGGTCCAGGATCCACTCCCCCCCTCCCCCCCCCAGTCCCCATGAAGGACTTCTGCCCTGAGACCATCCATAGGTGAACAATCCCAAGGAACTGCCGAACACTCGCTTCCTCCTCCAAAAAGAAATCCACAAAGACTCTGCGTGCAACATCTCAGTGGAGAGAAATAAAGACAAATAGACTTCTTTAAACTGCATCATTTTTTTTCTAAATCCATATGTTATAGTTTAGCTAAATGAAGAAGATTTTTTCATTGAATTTTTTCATATCATCATGTGGTTTTGGAGGGTGCAAGGGGCACTTTCCCCCCTCCAACCCCCCCGTGCAGGACAGGGAGGGTGGGGGGTCCTCGCCAGAAGTACTGTGAGAACTTAATAGGATAAACTTGCTAGCGTAACCAGAACTCCCTCTCTCTGGTTCTGGTAGGGGGTATGAAGAAAGGAGCACAGTTGGACTGCTCTCCTCCTGACATGGTTTTTCAGTTCTAGCTGTTCACTGCTGCTGCCACCTCCCTGCTGCTCGGACCTGCACCACTTCCTCACCATGGCAGCAGCCGCCACCATCCCTGTGCTCCAGCTCCATGGCTCCCATGTTGGATAGGAACTCTCCTGTTGCTCTGGCTACATAGTGATCAAGTGACCCTGTTAGGACCTGTCATGGGTTCAGGTGGCTGGATTTTTGGTAGAAGGCAGGCCATAGGGATGATTTCAGTTATAAGCTGTCAGAAGTTTCACTGTCCTATGAAAAAAGTCAATGATAGCCAGCTCTAGGAGGGACTTTCCTGTTGCTGGCTGAGGCTGAGCCAATTAGAAGTAATGATATAATGCTTTTGTGATAACATATTTAGGAATAGAGGAAGAGAAGGTTTGTTGCGCAGAAAAAGTTCCAACCCGGAGAAGAGCAACGGAGAACATGGGATAACAAGCAGACTCCAAGGTCAGAGCAGGAGGAGGGAGGAGAGGCCCGGGGGGGCCTCCCTCTTCCCCTCCAACAGGGGAAAGACTGAGAGTTGAGACCTCTGCCACCTGTGGAAGACTATTGGGCTGCGGAGACCCCCCTCTGCAGCTCATGGAGGAACCTATGCTGGAACTGGTAGATGCATAAAGAAAACCGTGACCCTGTGGGAGGCCTAAGATGTAGCAGAGTCCTACAGGAGACCTGTGGCCCATGGAGAGGAAAACCCACACTGAAACAAGTTTTCACAGGTAGGACTTGTCCCGAATGACCCATGGGGCAGCAGATTGAAGAGAACTGTTGCCCGAGGGGTGAATGGACCCACGGGGAGAGTCCAGCAAAGACTGTCTCCCGTGGAAAGGGACCCCATAGGAGCAGGAGAAGGACTCAGAGTCATGACCATCTGTATCTGTGGTGAAGACTATGGTGACACAGGTTGTCCCCCTGCAGCCAATAGAAGACCATCAGGATGTATTTATTAAACTGTATTAATTGATGCTCTTAAATTATCAGCAGGACTTGGTTCTCTTGCTTGTGGCCATGCAGAGAAGGCTAAACCACTGCAGTCGCTGAGCTGGCTCCCTCCCTGTGGCCTCAAGTCTATGGATGTTTGCCTGACACACAAATTTGGTGCTTTCCAAAGGCACCTTTTGGAAAACCAAAATAATCATGCATTATTTAAGCATCGAGCTGGTATGGGCTCCAACCTGAGGGGGTGTCATGGGTTTACTCTAGACCAATTTTCTTTCACCCCTCACAAACAATTGCTATAAGTTGAGAGAGGGTTTATGCAGACAAAAGAGATCTGATGGGGGGGAAATAATAAAGCAAGATAAAAACTAAAGTACTATATATACAACAATTCCAACTAGGTAAAAGTGCTATGTATTTACAGAAATACCCCTCCCCCCTTGTATCAGTTCAGGAGGAGAAGCAATCTCTTTCCCATTTCTGGAGCTACAGGTCTTCTAAATAATTTTGCAGCACTTTGAAAGTTCCTCTTCTATTATCTTTAGGAGGACAGTTCCAATTTGTCACAGCTGGAACTGTCTCTCTCTATCTCTCTCTCCCTTCTATGTCGACCTTAGGGCTGGGCCTACCCCCTCCTGGGCTAAGACCAGAGGCTGGGGGTTACCCAGGCCCTGTGGGGTTTTCCATGGACTGCAAGGGGACACTTGTCTTACCATGGATCTTCACCACAGAGTCACAGGGGATAATGGCTTTGAGTCCACTCCTGTTTCTTGTGGGGTCCCTCCTCATGAGAGACAGGTTTTGATGTACCTCTCTAGCTTGAGTCTACCTTCAGGCAACAGTTCTTCCATTCTCTGCTGTCCCTTAGGGTCACAAATTCAACTGCACCAGCATGGATCCCTCACTGAGATCGCAACTCCTACCCAGGTCGACTTGCTCCAGCATAGGTCTCTTTCTCCATGGACCACAGGTCTCCAGCAAGACTATGTTTCATCTTAGGCCTCCCACAGAGTCACATCTTCTTTATGCACTCCTCTGCTTCGGCATGGGCTCCTTCATGAGCTGCAGAGGAGGGTCTCCACTTCCCAACAATCTTCTACAGATGCCAGTGGTTTTTTTTCAGTTTTCAGTCTTTTCTCTGCTGAAGGGAGGGAGAGGGGGAAGAGAAGGAGTTCCCCCCCTTCGGGCTTCTCTTCTCTCTCCTGCGGCTGCCAGTTTTGACCTTGGAGGCTCCATTATCACTCTGCCTGGAATTCCTTCTGCAGCAGTCTTGTCCAGGCAGTCTTTCATTAGAGTTTTTAATCTACTCTGTTACAGGAGAGAAGGAGGCCTGCCCCCCCGCCTTGCCGGGGTCAGACTTGGTCTGGGGTGGGAGGCACATGCCCGGGCCCAACAGGGCCGGCTGCTACGCTGGCTCTCCCATTTTGTTCTGCACAACCAACTTCTCTTCCATTTTCTTAAATATGTAAATGGTAGAGGTGTTACTAAAACTTTTGATTGGCTTTGCTCTGGAAATTCACCTGGAAAAACTATTTTCAGCCCTGGGAGGAACTGGTCAGCAAACCCACAACAGGGGGCCTTTTGCATTGTGATGCTGATGACGATTAAGGAATTAAGGTTGATTTTCCCATGCTGCGCTAGGTTGGATTGGGTTGGATGGAGCCGGGTGCTTGTGGCGATCACATTTTGGGGTAGGGAGGGAGGATTGGAGAAAACCCTGTTTCTTCCCATTTTGATGTTGTGCAGTGAATCCAGGCCACAGGTATGCACTTCCTGGGGCTCTGCTCCCCTTCCCCAGTCAGAACAGATGTGATGAACACTAAACCTCAGGTTGGAAGGATGTGGGGCTCTGCTCCAGATAACAGTGCAGTGGCTTCTTGTTCATCTTCTCATTTTGTCTTCTAGGTCTTGGTTGCAGCATGTGCCAATGAGCACAGGGCTGCATCAAAAGAAGCATGGCATGCAGGTCGAGGGAAGGGATTCTGTCCCTCTGCTCTGGTGAGACCCCACCTGGAATATTGCGTCCAGCTCTGGGGCTCCCAACATAAGGACGTGGAGCTGTTGGAGGAAGTCCAGAGGCAACCACAAAGGTGATCAGAGGGCTGGAGCACCTCTCCTATGAAGACAGTCTGAAAGAGTTGGGTTTGTTCAGCCTGGAGAAGAGAAGGTTCTAAGGAGACCTTAGAGCAGCCTTTCAATACTTAAAGGGGGCTCACAGGAAAGATGGAGACAAACTTCTCAGCAAGGCCTGTTGCAAAAGGACAAGTGGTGTCGGAGGATGCAACAAGGCCATGCAGCCTGGCAGCATGGAAAAGTGTAAATAAGAGGTGAACATCCAATCATATGTGAAGGCTAGTGGTAAATATAGATAATAGAGCTAAGAATAGTGTTAGTATGTAAGATTCTACAGGAACAGTGTGTGAGTGCAACTGTGTGAAGACAAGATGTAATATTCTGGATGAAGAGAATAAAAGCTGAATTTAGGCCATCATCATAAGTGCCCAGTTTTATTTACATGACCGTCCTCATAGTTAATACAACAACTGGTGAACCTCGAGTGTTACGAGCCAGGAGGGATCGCGACTAATACTGACGAGACTCCCACCCTGATCTGGAGTCAAAATGGACTTGATCCCCATCGAGGAATCAAAGATAATTCCCTGAGGAATTGAGACCGCAGTTAGAAGTGCGGTGAAGACGAAGTCGAGGGATCGGAGATAATTCCCTGAGGAATTGAGAGGAATTGAACCACAGGGTAAGGTGCAGTGAGGACGGAGCCCGAGTGTAGCTGAGAGCAGTGGGGCGGCTGCCAAAAGCAGGTCCGGACCCGAGATTTCTTGACACCTGAGGCAGGAGAGCCACCGGGAACTGTGGGGGCGTGATGGGACCAGTTAGAGTCCGGATGGGAGCGCATGGTTGGCCCTTGAAATGTGCTGCTTAGACAGCGTGATGATGATGGTGATGGTCGCTCACGATGTGAAGTTCAAAGAAATGGCAGTTCTGAGTGGGGTTTGCAGTAGCACAGGGTGAGGGGGTGCACAGCGAAGCAGCACTGTGAAGCGGCAGCACGGACTAGCAGTGTTGCATGACAAAGACTCGTGGGACGAGGCAGCCCGGCTCAGCAGAGCCGAGCCGGAGCCGAGCTGGAGCTGGGACCAGGTACCGGGACCGCCTCAGATCACAATTGAAACCGTCCCGTTACCCCCCCCCCCCCTTCCCTCCTGCAGTGTGTGTTGAAGATGGACCGAGACGGGGGGGGCAGGCAAGATGGAGGGCTGCTGGAAGACACAGAAAGGCGGAGGCCCGGAACCCCCTCCCCCTTCCCCCTCCTTCCCCCCTCTTCCCCCCCACGCCGCGTTACAAAGGACGGCAACTATAGAATTCTGTAAAGCCCGCCCACAACATTCTTTGAACTTTTAACAATGTTAATGAAATTAAACGAGAGGCAAAAATATGTTTGCTTTGCAAGTTATAGTTTCTTCACAACAGTCACTCACAGATAGAAGACACGGGGTAAAGATTTTACTCTAAGACTCGGAAACAAAGCTACTGTAAGACTTGAAGGAAACCTGATTAGTTTGACGGGAGTGTGGCTAGCCTGAAAGGAGCCTGGTTAGCTCAGTTGGTAAAGCATGGGACTGAGAATCCCAGGACCACAGGTTCGAGTCCCGCAGGGGAACAGCGGGTGGACCAGCTACTGTCCCAAGTCTGAGCTCTTGTTTTTTCCTCACGAAAACCTTCTCTGCAAAATTGTCTGACTGCTCTTATCTGTTTCTGCCACGATAACTACTTAAAACTGACTGAACTATTAATAGGAACGGTTTGTGAAGCTTTTTGTTTACAGTGGAAATGGCTGGAAGAGGCAGACGAACAGAAGCTGAGACCTGACTGCATTCCAAACATCGGAGATACCAACATCCAGAGAGCACGGAGATAGCACCGGCAGGGAGGGCCAGCACAGAGCAGGACACCTACGCAAAACCGTGCTGGGTGCAGAGCGGGGGCGGAGCTGTTGTTGATGCAGCTGCACGGCGAGGCGGAGCCGGGGCACTGTGGGCTCCGAGCCAGAGCGGAGCACGCTGCTGCCTGACAGGATCGGGCTCTGCCGCCCGCAGTGAGGGGGATCTCGGAGCCCCAAAGCCTCCATGGTCCCTCCCCACCTTCTCTCCACCACAAACAGCGGTTGGGGACACCTTCCTGCCTCCATGTTGGAGGAGGGTCACCCGGAGCGGTGAGGAGGCTGCCGGAGCTGCACGGCTTGGAAAAAAAAAAAAAAAAAAAAGGAAAAAGGGGGGGAGGAGAATATGCGTGCTGGATCAAAAATGGATCTCATATAGGTTTGTTAAGCTTTTTTGGTCCTTGTATTGATTCCTCCTCAGGACAGGTGGAGTTGGTGAACATGACCATCAGAGATGGCAGACTGGGAAGCACGCAGTCAGTAATGGGATCTGAGATGTGTGGTTGAAATGCGAAACTATAATAAAAATCCCAGCTATGTGTGAATGAAGGATGATTCAGGTGGCCACCTTCTGAATGACTGGAAAAAAAGTTGTAGGAGTGAAAAAAGTTGTGTAGATATCTATATGTGTGTGAACTTAAAATACTTAATGAGTATTAGGATTTTAAAAGAATATGCTGTATAGGTTTAATTATGGTAAGCTGATGTATGCTAGCCTTCAATGACTGGAAGCAAGAATCAAAGAGTTGCAAATTAATGCTGGTCAAGACTAACTCAATGATCTGTTGGTAAATGGGAACTATCAGGATGGTTTTTGCCTATAGTCAAGACAAGTTTGCTTCTGTTTTTTATTGTTGTGCTTGTGCTACTGATGTTGCCATGTTTGGTGTCGTATTTGCAAAGGACCCTGCAAAGGACAACCCAGGCAATTTTTGTGGCACAAATACAAAAAAAGGGGGAATTGTCGGAGGATGCAGCAAGGCCGCAGAGCCTAGCAACATGGAAAAGAATGTAAATAAGAGGTGAACATCCAATCATATGTGAAGGATAGTGGTAAATATAGATAATAGAGCTAAGAATACTGTTAGTATGTAAGATTCTACAGGGACAGTGTGTGAGTGCAGCTG